TAAATGCGGGCGCGTGCCGAGACAGGACGTTTTTCGATGTTCTTTTCCGACTAAACACTACCCGGAACACAACTACTCCATTACCATTACCATTACGGTGGCTATTAACGCTACCGTTACCATTAGCGTAACGACCCCCCTACGTCTACCTGAGTTTTGACGACCGTACGACGGAAAACCGTACGATGCGAGACACGAGGCGCCTTCCAAAGGATTTCCAAAATGCCAGGCCACTTACGGACGATCGTCCTTGTCGTTGTCGTCGTTGTCGTCGTCGTCGTCGTTGTCGATTCGGTACGTACCTGTACGGTTACCTGGGGCCCGTTCATTGCATCCTGGCCTGGCCAAAAACGACATACGGTGTCGTCGTAGTCGTCGTCGTCGTTGTAGTCGTCGTCGTCGTTGTAGTCGTCGTCGTTACTTTCCCTGCGAGAACGATAAACGCAGTTCGGCTGCTGGCGAAACAGACCTGGCGAAAGAGTTCCGGTTCGCGCAGCCGTTGCGCAACGCGAATGGCACGTGTCTCGCGATGCTCGAACCGTCACGATTTCCAACAATAACGTCCAATTCAACGTCACACACGTACGTCTCTCTGTCCGAGCTCGATCTTCGCGCTCGATCGCCTTCTTTATCGCGTATCTTTATCGCGGATCGGGGCAACGCGTCGAACGCTGGCGGACACGTCGTCGATCGAACGACACAAAGCAAACCGAGAAACGCGCGACCTTCGCGTTTTCTCACGACTCGTCCGACACGTACCGCTCGATCGGTACGTGCTCATCGGACGATTCGCGTATTCTCCCGGAACGATTTCCAACAAAACTGGCTCGAGCAACGGTATTCGCGGTAATGGAAACATCGATAACCGAACAACCTCGTCCTTCGAAACGATATATCGTTGCCGTTTGCGAATGCAAAAACGAAAATCATCCGACGACGAGTCGCGAGGCGAGCGCGAACAAACACGAGAAAGGTCGAGCTGCGTTCGATGAAAATACGCAGAGAGAGAGAGAGAGAGAGAGAGAACACGGACGATTCGATACGCGTCGTCGTCTCTCGTCACGGTTGCTCGCGTCTCGAACGTTTCACCTGGAATCGCGCTTCCACTTCCCTGTCTTGGTCGTCGTCCACGGCACTTTTCTCTCATTAACCAGGTGTCTGCCAGCTTCCTCGTGCCGTTTCGAGTCGACGGACGTGGACAAGGGTAAACGAGAAAGGAAAGGATACGTGCCCGTGGCACGTGTTACGCGTTCGTAACTTCCACGACACGACTGGGCGCAACACCGACGTCCACTCGGCCGTATCGACGTCCGTGTCCGAGGTTTCCGAGTACCTTCGTTTCGCGAGTCACACGGGCGACGACGTCTCCTTCCAGAGTCATCCGTTGCAACTTGAATTCGCGTCGATCCTCTGTCGCGAGGCGGATCGATCGAATTTATCTCCGCGATATATTTACGTACGACGTTACACGCATCGATAGACGGATCGGTCGATTCGGAACGCGGATTCGAAGAAAATTCTATTTAGTTGACCAACGGTGACCCGACACGCAACCTAATCGGAAATCGAAACCGCGAGGCGACGCGTACCAACGCACGTCCCCGGAACCTTCAATAACCGGGCGATCGGATTTCTTCCAAGTACCATCTCGAGAGACTCTCTCTCCCCGCGCTCTTTCCTCCAATTGCCACGATTCTCCGGCCGCACCAAGTTCCAACGGATCGTCATAGATCCGCTCTTTCTCTCCGAGCGCACCGTCAAAGCGAGAGAAAAGCGAAAGGAAAGGAGATATTTCGGTCGGGTCGCGAAGAATGCAGATATCGCGAAACTCAATCTAGAAGGTCGGTAGCGACAGGGTTATAGCCCCTGTTACCGGATCGCTATCTGAATCCACCGAGCCGATAAGCCCTGCCGCTTCTCACGATAGCGCGCCACGTCTCGTGGTGGGAAGAGATCCGAGGTCCGCTAAACTCCGCCGATGGGAGCTTCTTCGTGGCGTGGACCGTACTACACGGTGTACCATGATACCGCGATATATCGCCAACGCGATAATCTTCGAGACGAATCGGCTGCGTTAGTAACGACTAGCGTGCCAGTCTGGAAAAACGTTTGGACGTTCGGGTCGCGAATGAAAATCCCGTTTTCCCTGCGTGGTCGCAGCGTGCCGCGCACTCGGCCCG